ACATGGGGCTACCCTTGTGCTTGGTTCAGAAATTACAGCTGGTGCAAATTATGGCAGACTTGTCTCGGGAACATCCAGGAGGGACCACATTACTCCAGTTCTGAGGTCCCTCCACTGGCTGCCTATCAGCTTCTGGGCCCAGTACAAGGTGTTGGTTATTACCTTTAAAGCCCTAAATGGCTTGGGTCCAAACTATCTCAGGGACCGCCTTCTCCCATACAATCCTCCCTGCACTCTCCAGTCCTCTGGGAGGAATTTGCTGCAGCCTCAAAAGTCCAGGCTTTCGGCAACCTCCCAGAGGGCTTTTTCACTTATCTCCCCCAGACTCTGGAATGGCCTGCCGGATGAGATCCATCAATTAACATCGCTAGATAGCTTTAAAAATGCTGTCAAGATGGATCTCTTCCAGCAGGCCTTTCCAGACTAAATATCCCGGCCTTGGCTACTTCCTCCCTTCGAATGATCTTTCCATATCTCTTCTACAGAGGGAATGAGCAAACATTGCCATGGTCCAATGTTGCTGTTGCAAGATGGTATATGTAATGTGTTTTTAAATTGTTTAAATGTGTTTTAATTTGTTATTGCTTTAATACTGTTTTAAGGGGCGGTGGGAATGTTGTGATTTATTATGTATGATTTTATTGTTGTGAGCTGCCCTGATTGGGTTTCCCAAAGGGCGGGATACAAATAATAATAATAATAATAATAATAATAATAATAATAATAATATTGCTATCTGGAAAAAAAATGATAACCCTAGCTGGTGTGGCGGGGGAAGGATATTTTTCCCCACCAGGGCCTGTACCAGCTCTCAGTGGGCCTGCCTGAGTAGACACACTACCACATGTTTATTTTACTCTTTTCCATAGAAGTTAAAAGATCTTAATTTTGATTTGCACATACTCTGTTGTTGTTTTTGTTGTTCAAGTTGTTTCTGACTTATGACGATCCTAAGGTGAACCTATCATGGGGCTTTCTTGGCAAGATTTGTTCAGAGGTGTTTTGTCATTGCCTTCTCTCTTTTCTAAGGTCAACCAGTGGGTTTCATAGCCAGGTGGGGAATCAAACCCTAGTCTCCAGAGTCATAGTCTAACACTCAAACCTCTATGCTACACATTCATAAATGCCATAATTCACTTTGAGAATTACATGGTTAATTAGCAGTCCAAAGGTCAAGAAGCCAAAGTTTTGGTCTGTAGAAAAGGAGTGAATACAAGAGTAGTCCAGGTTCAGGTTCAAGTTTCAAGAAAACAAGGCAAAGTGTCCAGACTGGCTTGCATGTCTTTCACATGGAGTGATTGACAGATATTTCCAGCATCTGAAGGGTGTTTTTCTGTCTGGCTTATCTAGAGCAGATGAGTGTTTTGTGGTGACAGCTGGGGCAACTCCAACTGAGCTGCAGGTGTGCAGAGACCCCCTGCTAACACTCTTGCCCCTTGATATCTCAGAGGTAGGCACAGCAATAAACTTATATGCAACCTGAGTTAAGCAGGTATGAGAAAAATGTAGATAATATTTGTTTCACTTGATGCTGTGCTGCAATCAAGAAACACTTGGGGGAGATTGTGAGCTAATTTTGATTAGTCCTCCTTACAGCAGAACCACTGAAATGAATGGGATTTGCTAATCAAAACCCATGAAATTCTAAGTAGAACAAAGGGGATTTAGCTCTTTTGCTTCCATCCATTGGTGTCTGCTTCCTTCCATTATGATTTTGTTTTGGAAAAAACAGAAAAACATATTCTAATCCAGAAGAACACATCTTTGGCTTTGCTAAAAAGGCAGATCACTAATTGTCATGGGGTGAGACTCACTCATCCAACTATTTTTCTCAACTGGCAGCACAATGGGTCTTTTTGATCCCACTGTTGCCACCAATTATGTGATGGCGACAACAAGGCACTGCCAAAATTTCTTTAAGCTTTTCACTCCTTTTTAAGGTGTACCACTGCTGACACCAATTATGTGAAGATGATGTTCACTATCCCACCAATTCTTCACTGTGAGACTCGAACCTGGGACTCTCTTAAGTGTCTCCTGCACTATAACTTTTTAGAAGTCAGCACTCTGGGTTTCAACTTTCCCTCCATCTTGGCACCAACTATTAGTTGACAGCCACACACCCATTAACCTAAGTGTCCCAAAATTCTCAATGTTGGTAGCATTTTTAATGTGTTTCTGAAATCACTTCAGACAGCTGCTTGTTGAAACAAAATAATACATTTATGTACAAGTCAGGCTGAATACAGTATCTCTTGTAGTGGATGGTGTTCACAATAGAAATGACGTATAAATACTTTATTAGTTACACAGTTTAATAGTTTCTTTAGTTTGTTTTTTGTAACTGGTTCTTTATAACTTAATATATGTTCCCTTACAGACTATGTTCTCAGAGAACCTTTATTTGCAGTGGCACAAAGGATACGAGACACCTCTTATGGGTTTAAACAGGACACAACTTTTATTTTTGCTGTACAGGGTCTATTTACAAAGATTTACAATTAAACACCCAACACTTTGTTACATGTTTGTGTAAAGGTGTAACCTACCCAGGTGGGTGGTCCATCACCACATGTGACAAAGTATGTAATTAAACATCAACAACAAATTTACAAACCCCTTCCCCGCCAGAAATGACATCATATTGGTTAATGACGTCATGCAGTTAACTGCATATGTCACTTCCTGTAATTGAAATTTTTGCCAAATTTACCCCAATTAAATTTAATTAGCCAATTAATTTCCCTGTGGGGTGGGGGTCATTACCCGCCACAAGAGGGGACCAGCCTAGCTAGGCATCCCCTCTCCCCCCACTACAAACCACTTTTTTAATATGTTTGGAGAGTCCCTGTACATAAATCTCCGAGCCTTCTGCAGAGAGGTGCACCCCATCCCCCCTGTACAGCTGAGGCCTATCCAATTTGATTCCCAAATGTTCAATTATAAAAATACCAAGTCTTGATAGCTGTTTAGGCACTGAATGATTTAGCCACCATCGAGTACTATTAATGGTGGCATCTTTGCAAGCTCCAGGCCAGCTATGCCTTGGCAGCAGCTTAGTCCATAACAAAATAGCTCCAGGAACAATCTTTCTTATGTCCTGAAGGTCTCTCACCATCTGAACTGAAAACATGGGACTTTCACTAAGTCATTCTCCACCAGGTGTATGACTAAAACCCGGGGTTGTGGATATGACCTTGACAGCTGGATGATCCAGGGAAGCAATGCTCCCCATAGCATGCCCCTGCAACCAAATCATTGAGTAGTGCTGATGTTCGCCAAGCCCAAGGTAGTATCACATCAGTGCTCAAGTAGGTGGCATTGGCCAAAACACTCTGTGGCCCACAATCCAAATATTGCCATGGAAAAAAGCCAGCTGAAATGCAAATAGTCAATTAATATAATTAATCAGGATTGGTGTTCCCTTTAGGCCGCACATAAGATTTGAATGCCTTAGAACATCACTGGCCAATTTGGCGAATAACGGCTTCACTTAAACTTGCATGGTCGCAGCTGTTGCCGCACCGATACAGAAAGAGTGAGAAGAGAAATAAGCCTGGGGCAAATTAGCTCACCTTAATGTCTCCTTCAGCACTGCCCTAAACTGAAATTGAGTTAAGGGCATGCCTGATAGGTGGAGAAACAAATAACCAGCCACTTTCAGCCTAATTCTAAAATAATTGGTCATTGCTAACACCGGGCAAATTTGACCGCTAGGCACTTTAGCTAAGGAAATAGTCTGACCTTTTGCCAACTGGTCAGTCTTTGAGCACCTGATGCAAATCTGAATCCCCTGCACTGTTAAGATAACATCTGAAATTAAAAGTGCCCTTCCAGACTGATCCTTGTGAGATCCAGGAACAATCTTGCTAATACGCAAAGCTGCAAAGAAAGCAATGGCAAATACTACCTTGAACAAAACCACTTTCGCTAATGAATAACATGTGTTCCCATAACTTAGCTAGGACCATGCCTGTTATCAGCCACCGTGAGTCCCTTACTACAGGGGATTCTCTAGACCAGCCTTCCACAGCTCTTTTAACCCTAAAGTCTGTGGTAGGATCAAAGCAACCCCTTGCCCTGGAGTGAAAAGTCAAGGCAGCCAACCTGCCCCTAATGGTAACAGGTGACAGACCAGCATGCCTGAGATGTACTATGAAATGCAAGACCAGATCTACTCTAATAGGCCAGCCTTCCACCTCCCCAATTTCCACTAAAAATTGATTAAATGCATTCAAGGCTGTCTGGTAGGACTTGTGTGTAGATGGGGTGATAGAATGTAGGATCACCCTGTGGATTTCTAGTCTCCAAGGTTCCATAGAAGTGCCGGTATCTCCATCGTGTGTGTTGATGCCTTGGGAGCCAGCTGCCAGAACCTGGAAAACTGGAAATGAGAAAGGGCATCTGCCAAAAGGTTAAGCACACCAGGAACATGCTGAGCTTGGAACAAAACATTAAACTTTAAACACTGCATGACCATTGCCCTCACCAAGCACATTACTCTAGGGGTCTTGGAAGACTGAGAGTTTACCATCTGAATGACTGCCTGGTTGTCACACCAGAACTAGATGGACTTATTAGTAAAATGACTTGCCCACAAGTGTACAGCCACCACAATAGGAAAAAGTTC